TTTGAGATGGAATTTCACTCTTGTTGCCCAGGCTGGAGTGCAATGGTGTAATTTTGGCTTACAGCAACCTCTGCTTCCCCAGTTCAAGCAATTCTCCTGCCTCAGCCTCCCAAGTAGCTGGGATTATAGGCATGCGCCACCTCACCCAGCTAATTTTGTATTTTTACTAGAGACAGGGTTTGTCCATGTTGATCAGGCTGGTCTGGAACTCCCGACCTCAGGTGATCCTCCCGCCTCAGCCTCCCAAAGTGCTGGGATTACAGGCGTGAGCCACTGCACTCAGCCACATTTTTTAAAGAGTCTGAAACAAACTATCTACTGTATAATGCTGAAATTGCTAAGGTAGTTTTAAAAGCAGAGCTGAGCATCATTGCACAGAATTGTTTAAAGACAGAATTTTACCTCTGTGGTCTTCCTCCCAAGAACCTAGAAGCCTGTCTAATCATGAGAAAAACATCACCATTAGAGGGCCAGCCTACGAAGTAAACTGTTAAGGCCATTGAAAACGAGAAACATTTGAGAAATCGTTACAATAAAGATGAGCTTAAAGAGAAGTGACAACTAAATGCAATTATGGTGTTCTGGAAGGAATCCTGGACCACAAAAAAAGGCACTGCGAAAATCCAAATGAAGTACAGGCTTTAGTTCACGACAGTGTATCATGATTAGTTCATTCGCTGTGACACATTTATCATATAAACGTCAAATGTTCATAATATGAAAAACTGAGTGTGAGTATACAGGAAGTCTCTGTACTGTCTTCATAATCTTTCCATAAATGTAAAACTTATAAAATAAACTCATATGCCAGGTGCTGTAGCTCACACCCTGAGTAATCCCAGCACACCAAGAGGCCAGGAGTTAAAGGGCAGCCTGGGCAATATAGTGAAACCACTTCTATACAAACAGTTTAGAAGAAAAATTATCTGGGAGTGGTGACACATGCCTGTGGTCCCACTACTCAGGAGGCTGAGGAAGGAGGATGTCTTGAGCCCAAGAGGTTGAAGCTGCACTGAGCTGTCATTGCATCACTGCGCTCCAGAGCTTGGGTGACAGACTGAGACCTTGCCTCTAAAAAAACAAAAATCAAAGAAACAACTCTTTTATTTTAATTTCTTTTAACAATACATTCCAAACCTATCCAGTTTATGTCAAAATACTCAAAGGTGTTAAAATAACCCCAAAGCTATACCCATATGCTGTGAGTCAAGCACAGCAACATCAGCTCGTCTCGTGTTGATGTCTCCTCTTGCAGAGATCCATGTGCGTTTCACAGGCCCCTCAGCTCATGACCTCTTTCTTTTGTGGTCTTCTAATTACCATGCTACTTCCAGAGAAAACTGACTGTTCCACCTGGACTGTGTCTGTCAACATTAAAAAAGAATGGCTGGAGCAAGCTACATACTGTATCCTGCAGGTAATGCTGAAAAGTAATTGTAAAAGCAGAGCTGAGCATCACTACATAGACTTGTTTAAAGATACAACATATATTGTGTATATACTTTTGGTGTGCGACTGACTCCAAAATACACAACCAGTGTTTCCCATTGCAAGGAAGGAAAAAAGAACTTTTTCTCTATCTTTTCTGAATTCCCATAATAAAAGGCAGATTAACAAGAGGAAGATGTACACAAGCTTACGAACGTGCGCACCTCTTGGGTCCATACCCTAGAGGAAAACGGGTCCATCTCAAAGGGGTGACTTTGACATCAGTCAATAAATACATACACGATGTGCATTGGTTTAACATGAAAGGGAAAAACAACTCGAAGTGGGGGCTTTCAGGTTATAGGCAGATTTTAAAGTTTTCTGATTGGCAATTGGTTATTATCAGTAGCAAGGAATATCTAGGTTATGATAAGGAGTTGTGGAGACCAAGGTTTTATGATGCACATGAAGCCTCCAGGCAGCAGGCTTCAGAGAGCACAGGTTGTCAGTGTCAAAGAACTTAAAGAGTCGGTTCTATCAGTAATTCCGAAACTGACGAGGGCATCATGAGACATGTCCAACCCCCGCTTTCCATCAGTGCCTCAACTAGTTTTTCAGGTTAACTTGGGATGCCCTTCGCTGAGAGGAGGGGTCCATTCAGATGTCTGGGGGCACCTTCGAATTTTATTTTCGGTCTGCTTTCAAAACCCAACTAGAATGAACTATGTCCCCAGTTTCACAATAATAAATGAGGCTTTCAAGTACCGACTGGATGACTCTCACTGCCTTTGTAGGCATGGTGAGGCAGCTGGTTTCTGCTAGTAAGTGCTTGCCTGACTCTTGGAGCCCCAGAGGAACTTCTGATCTAGGCTGTGGGCTTATTTACTCATTTCTTCCTTTAGGCTTTGCCCTGGGTGTAGTTCACTTTAAACTATTGAGGTAGAATTTACATGCTGTAAAACCCACTTGTTTTCAGTGTAATAAGTTAATGAATTTTAAGTTTACCAAGTTGGACCACCACCACAAAGATAATGTGTTGTATAGCATTTCCATCAGTGCAGGAAGTTCCAGGTGTTCATTTATATATATATATAAATTTTAGAGATGGGTCTTGCTATTGAGATCTAAGCTCTGACTTTTTTCTTATCTAGCCCAAATTCCCAAGGGGTCTGGGGAGTCACGCCCTAAAAACCATAAATTCTCTTCAGATGGATTTTATTCAACCCTATATATCATAACTAACATTCCAGTCTGACTCTGGCATTACATTACAAGACAAGAAAATCAAAATATTTTACCCTAAAACATGTTTCTTTGCCATATTTTGAAATGGCCCCGCAAAGCTATCTTTCGTAGGAGAAATTTTGCATCCGTAAAGAACATTTATTCATATAGCTAGATCTTTTTTCTTCCAGGTTCTCCCAGTCCTGAAGAGATTCACTGACAGTCTAGCACCTTTTAAAGATCTGATTAGGAAATATCTGTCATCTGCTGTCTCTAAGGGCAGCCACTATGAGACTTCCAAAGGACCTTGCTCTCCACAATCTTTTATCTCAACCTGAACATTTCCTTTCTATTTGTGCCAGGTCTTTAGACAAATTCAACCAATTGACAACCAGAAAGTTTTTACTCCACCTATAGCCTGGAAGCCCACAACCCACCCCCAGTTTCGAGTTGTCCCACCTTTCTGGGCCAAACCAGTGTATTTCTTAAATGTATTTGATTGATATCCCATGCCTCTCTAAAATGCATAAAATCAAGCTGCGTCCCAACCACCTTGGGCCCATGTTTTCAGGATCTCCTGGGGGTATGTCACGGGCCATGGTCACTCACATTTGGCTCAGAATAAATCTCTTCAAATATTTCAGTGTTTGACTCTTTTCCTCTACACTACGTTGTCCAGGCTATTGCATGTAATAAGATATGCAACTTCCTCAATTACTCCTGCAAAGAACATCACTATTGTAAAACCTCAGATTGTTTTGAGATGCCTTTTTTTAAAAAACATGTCTGACACCCATGGCTCTACCTGGACCTGAAGACTCCACCGGGGACTGCCAATCCGGGTCCCATGGCCCCACCCAGAAGCGACTCAGCCCATAGGAAGGCTAAACCTCACACACATCAGTCCCAAGAAATCTGTTTTCTGTCTCTATAGATTTGCCTTTTTGGTACATTTCATGTAAATGGAACCTACAATGTGTGGTCTTTTGTGACTGACTTCTTTCACATAACATTCTGTTTTGGGGATCACTCATGCTACAACATGTCTGTACTCTTTTTCTTTTCTTTTTCTTTTTTAAAAGACTAATTTTTTTAAGAGCAGTTTTAGGTTCACAGCAACAGTGAGTGGAAGGCACAAAGATTTCTCACATACTCTCTGGCCTCTTCCCGAGCAGCCTCCCCACTATTAACATCCCCAACTAGAGTAGCACATTTGTGCTACCCATACTGGGTTCGTAACATAACCCCAAAGCCCAGAGTTTACATTAAGGTTTACTGTGTTGCACATTCTATGGGTTTTGACAAATATATACTCACATGTAAAATCCACTATTATATCCTCATACAGAACAGTTTCCCTGCCCTAAACATTCTCTGCTGCCCCTGTCAGAGGCGTTTGAACCACAGCAACTCCATCTTGAATAGGGTCTGGGTAAAGTAAGGCTGAGACCTGCTGGGCTGCACTCCCAGGAAGTTAAGGCATTCTAAGACAGGATGAGATTGGAGGTAAGCATGAGATACAGGTCATAAAGACCTGGCTGAGAAAACAAGTTGTAGTAAAGAAGCCAGCCTAAGCCCACCAAAAGCAAGGTGCTGATGAGAGTGACCTCTGGGCATCCTCACTGCTATACTTCCACCAGCGCCATGACAGTTTACAAATGCCATAGCAAAGTCAGGAAGTTATCCTATGTGGTCTAAAAAGGGAAGTCATGAATAATCCACCCCTTGTTTAGCATATCATCAAGAAATAACCATAAAAGTGGGCAATCAGGAGCCCTTGGGGCTGCTCTGTTTATGGAGTAACCATTCTTTTATTCCTTTACTCTCTTAATAAACTTGCTTCCACTTTACTCTATGGACTCACCCAGAATTGTTCTTGTACGAGCTCAAGAACCCTCTCTTGGGATCTGTGTCGGCCCTCTTTTCCGATAATACTAACACCTACAGCAGGCTCCTAGCATGCCCTAAGGTAGGACTTAATTCTCCGTAATACTGTCTTCGCAAGTCAAGAGCCACTTTGGGCCTTCCTGCCTTTTTATTTAAGTACCAGGATTGCTCCTTCTGGCTGGGGACAAAAGAAAATATCTTGCAGCCAAAGTATTGCAACAGAAACAGTTCCTTGGAAACCTCCAGGGCCTTTTTGTTTTTTTCTTTTTCTTTTTTCTAATTCTTCCTTAAGTGTATCTGCCAGAACCCAACTGAGCCTGTGTCCTCATCAAAGTCTTCCCAGCCCCTGGATAGAAGCTTCCAACATTTTTGAAATTCTCCCTCCCTTCTCTCCACCTCTATTGGTGAGTTCATCATCAAAGCCTTTCCCTATTTATTAATCTGTTTTGTTTCTTTCTCAGTATGCAAAGCTACTGTCATCCTGCTGCCTGATGTTCAGTATGCAAAGCTGCTGGACATCCTGTTAAGTTCTTTAAGCAACGGAACTGTTCTCCAAGGGTCAGTTATACATGTGGAATTTTAAAACACTGGACAGGAAAGCCACATTGTAAACAAACTGAACATTAGTGAATTCCAATGCAAGAGTATCCACTCTTTTGGGCTGATGATTTTGCAATGGCCCGAGTTCAAAGTAAAACATTCGTTAACAAATCTGACGTGCTGTAGGAAAGAAACAATTGTTTTCTATGGGGGTGTGGCTATTTTACTCTCCAGGGAAAAAGTATAGGAGAACCCCCTCCACTTACACTTCTCTTAAGAAATCTCTTGAACTCCTATGCTCATCTTTTCCTCATCCCAGGGGGGAAGGAATGACTTTCTCTTGGGAAAGTTGGGTCCCAAATTGAGCATGTCCTCATTCTGACTTGCCTTCAGGGAGGGGGAACTGCCTCTATTCCCTTCTGTCTTAATCTTGAGGGCAGCAGATTCTGCCTCTATACTGAGATTTCTTCTTCTACACAAAGAAACTAAGATGAGTTCAAACTCTCTTGCACAATTTCCATTGATCTGGTGTATTAGTCTGGTTTCTCTTTGCTGATAAAGACATACCTGAGACTGGGTAATTTATAAAGAAAAAGAGGTTTAATGGACTTACACTTATACATGGCTGGGGAGGCCTCACAATCACGGTGGAAAGCGAAAGACACGTCTTACATGGTGGCAGGCAAAAGACACGTCTTACATGGTGGCAGGCAAGAGACAATGAGAGTCAAGTGGAAGAGGAAACCCCTTATAAAACCAGCAGATCTTGTGAGGCTTGTTCACTACCATGAGAAGAGAATGGAGGAAATCTCTTCTTGATTCAATTATCTCCCACCAGGTCCATCCCACAACACATGGGAATGATGGGAACTACAATTCAAGATGAGATTTGGGTGGGGACACAGCCAGACCATATCACTTGGGTTGAGACACAAGCTGAAATATCACACCCCTCGATCTATCTCTTTTTTTTTCTTTTATTTCATCCATATAAACTCTTCCAGAAGTTCATAGTATGCACAACAATCCTTTGGTTTTGTCCCAGAAAGATGCTCAACTATAAGAGCAGAGAGGACAGAAAACTTTTGGCCATAATGACACATAGGTCAGCAGGGAAGTCTGAGATCAAAGGTTTGGAAGGTTGTGCAGGTCTAGATTTTATGAGGGAAAAAAAAGTACATGTATATATATATATACATATGCACACATATATTTTATATATATATACACAAACTTTAATGCACATATATATACATATTTATGTATATATACATACACATACAAAAATATGTATATATGTATATCTATAGATACACATATTATATATATATATGTATATAGTAAAAAGGGTGGCAGAGTTGGTTCCTGTATTAGTCTGTTCTCACACTGCTATGAAGAAATACCCAAGACTGGGTAATTTATATTTTTAAAAAGAGGTTTAATGACTCACATTTAATTCTGCATGACTGGAGAGGCCTCAGGAAACTTACCATCATTGCAGAAGGTGAAAGAGAAGCACGTGCCTTCTTCTTAGGGTGGCAGGATGGAGCTAGTGCAAACGGGAAATGCCAGACTCTTAGAATACCATGAGATATCATGAGAAATCATTCACTATCACAAGAACAGCATGGGAGAAACCACCCCCATGATACAATTGCCTCCACCTGGTCCTACCCTTGACATGTGAGGATTACAGGGATTACAGTCTGAGGTGAGATTTGGGCGGGGACACAGAGGCAAACCATGTTACTTCCTCTAAGAGTCTCTGAAGGAGAGACTGTCCCATGCTTCCTCCCTCTCTTCTGGTGGTTGGTTGTTGATCTTGAGCACTCTTTGGTTTTAGAAACATCAGTCCTATCTCAGCCTTCATCTCCCCATGGCATTTTCCCTGGGTGTGTGTCTGTGTCCTAATTGCCCCCCTCCTTTTTATTTCCTTAAATGTAGAAATGGGGTCCCACCATGTTGATCAGGCTGGTCTCAAACTCCTGGTCTCAAACGATCCACCCTCCTGGGCCTCCCAAAATGAAGGGATTATAGGCATGGGCCACTGCACCCAGCCCAAATTCCATCTCTTTATTAGAACACTAGTTTTTGGATTTAAAACCTACCCAAATGACCTCATTTTAACTTGATGACATCTACAGAGACTTGACTTCCAAAGAAGATCACATTCACAGGTATTGGGGATCAGCACTTCATCATGTGAATTTGGGGGACAGGAGGTCACTATTCAAACCATAACCATATATTATCCTTAAAGAAGAACATTAGCAATTGTGCCAAGTGATAGAATTGTATATATCACAATATTTCATTTTTGGTAGAACACTTATTTATATCTGAATTATCTGCAGTGTAGTCTGATATTTCCATCTGTGGCTGGGGAAGGACTTCCAAACCAGATTTGAGGTTTCACAGCATGGCTTTCAGCAACCAGGGGTGTGGAGAAGCTGGTAGCTCAGGCCATGTTACTCTCAGGATGGACATGAGACTCTATGCATTCAGTCCTCTTTGTACAAAGAGCATCCCTAAGACAAAGACCAGAGCCCGAAGTTGAAGATTTATGAGATTACCTGTTGAAAAACAATGATTGGGAATTTGAACTCTTTTTTTTACTTGACAAAGTCTCACTCTGTCCCACAGGCTAAAGTGCAGAGGTGTGATCTTGGCTCACTGCAACCTTCGCCTCCTGGGTTCAAGCAATTCTTTTGCCTCAGCCTCCCAAGTAGCTGAGATTACATGCACGGGCCACAACACCTGACTAGTTTTTGTATTTTAAGTAGAGACGGGGTTTCACTATGTTGGCCAGACTGGTCTCGAACTCCTGACCTCAGGTGACCTGCATGCCTTGGGAGATTACAGGCATGAGCCACCATGTCTGGCACTGGGAATTTGAACTTTATATGTATGCATAAATGTATTATTTACCAATACCAAAGTGAAGTTTTTCCAAATGAAGTAATAGTTTAAAAATACCCCCACTAAGCTGAATTTCTTTTCTTTTTGTTTTTAGAGACAGGGTCCCACTCTGTCACTCAAGCAGGAGTGCAGTGGTGCAATCACAGCTCAATGCAGCCTCGACCTCCCAGGCTTGGCAGTAATCCTCCTGCCTCAGCCTCCTGAGTAGCTGAGACTACAGGTGAGTGTCACCATGCCTAGTTAATTTTTTAATATTTACTTTTTTTGTAGAGATGAGGTCTCACTACGTTGCCCAGGCTAGTCACAAACTTCCGGCCTCAAGTAATCCCCTGACAATGGCCTCCCAAAATACTACAACCACAGGCATAAGTCACTGTGCACCCAGCCCAATTTTCTTACAAACACTATTTTGATGTCTTTAACTTTTTAAGGCACTCTCTATTCTTTTATCTATCTCTGTAGTGAAATAAACATCGGCACAGACATCTTAACATCAGCTCTGCTAAGAATCCTCCTCAAAACCAATGGAAGTAATAAATAGATAATTGTATTTATGGGTATTTGCTTAAATGTCAACTTTGTTTCAGGGTGTATGTCCAAATGTAAAGTCAATTTAGGAATAGGGAATGATGCTTTGCTTTGTCTCATAAGTGAAATCTCCAGGACTCTTTTGACCTCCAAAGATTATGTTGGCTGGCTTGCTGGGCATGAGGGCTCATTCCTGTAATCCCATCACTTTGGGAGGCCAAGGCAGGTGGATCATTGGGGCCAAGAGTTCAAGACCAGCCTGGCCAACATGGCAAAACCCTGTCTCTACTAAACATACAAAAATTAGCTGGGTGTGGCGGTACCTGCCTGTGGTCTTAGCTACTCAGGATGCTGAGGCAGGACAACTGCTTGAACCCAGGAGTTTGAGGCTGCGGTGAACTATAATTGCACCACTGCACTCTATCCTGGGCAACAGAGTGAGACCCTGTCTCAAAAAACAAAACCAACAAACACCAAAAATTATGTTGCAAGTAATGATGGATAAAAGACGTTCATGAGCATCTCTGATGCCCATCCTTCCAGAGCCTTCCGTGGTGTGGCAGACTTCCCCTACTATCCCACGTGGGCCCCATTACTGTTTCTTGAGACCCCCATTCCTGCCTTATAGTTGTGCATTGCTTCCTGCAGAGCTGAGAAAAATCTCTCTTCTTCAGGCTTAGTCCTGGACTGTGTATGTTCTCTTGACATTATCTTCAAAACTTGAAGTTCACATGATTATTTTTTGCTTTAAAGAAAACATGTATCCTGGCCAGGTGCAGTGGCTCAGCCTGTAATCCCCACACTTTGGCAAGCTGAGGCAGGTGGGTCACTTGAGGTCAGGAATTTGAGACCAGCCTGGACAACATGGTGAAATCCCGTGTCTACTAAAACTACAAAATTAGCTGGGTGTGGTGGTGCACGCCTGTGATCACTGGTACTTGGGAGGCTGCGGCAGGAGGATCGCTTGAACCTGGGAAGTGGAGGTTGCAGTGAGCCGAGATCACTCCAGACTGTGTGAAAGACTGAGACTCCATCTCAGAAAAAACAAAAAAAGACATTATATTCAGAGAGAGAGAAAAAAATGAACTCAGTGTCTTCCTGCAGATTCAATCCCATCTACCAATTTAAAGCAGGACTGTCCACTTCAGTTCTGCTCATGGAACTGGACTGCATACATTAGGGGGGTTGTGGAATTGTTAAAGGGGTAGGAGCATTTGCATGTGAGACTCCAAGAGCAGTTCAGATTGTTCCTGTTTTGTTTTATTTTATTTTGTTTACCGACTACACCTCGTGGCTAGCCTAGGCAACGTGTTTCCAGTATTAGAGGCCAGAATGCCTGAAAATACTAGACATTGATACAGGAACTGCCAGAACCACTAATGAGAGTGTGTTACACTGATTTGAGGAACACCCAAAAAAGCAGCAATGGCACATGTATGATCTGATCTCAGTAAGGAAGGGAAACGTTTCTCTATTTTTTTTTCTTTTTGAGACAAGGTGTTGCTCTGTCCCCCAGGCTGGAGTGCAGTGGTGTGATCACAGCTCACCATAGCCTCAATCTCCTGGGCTCA